GGCGTCACCTTCGCACGGCGTCCCCACCATCGTACAGATGCTCGTCGAAGCGCTGGGCGATCGGAAGTTGAAACGCCCCCGAAAATGGTCGTCGGCGGCTCCGCGCTGCCGAGCAGCCTGTGTCACGCCGCGTGAGCGCGGCATCATGGCATTCGCCGGCTATGGCATGTCGGAGACCGCACCCGTCCTATCGATCGCGCGGCATGATCCGGGAGATGCTCCGGACAGCACGGAGCGTTCATGCCTTGCCGGACGCCCCATCCCGCTCGTCCAGATCCGAGTCGTCGACGAACGCGGGGCGGAGGCTGCGGAGGGCGAATTGACGGTACGCGCCCCTGTGGCTGACGATGAGCTATGGCACGACCTGCACGCATCCGACGCGCGCTCTGGCGTGGCGGCTGGATGCACACCGGGACGTCGTACAGGTCGATCCGTGCGGCAACATCGTCGTTCGCGATCGACTGAAGGACGTCATCAAGTCCGGCGGCGAATGGATATCGTCGATCCAGCTAGAGGAACTGATGATGCGCCATCCACAGGTCGGGTCGGCGGCGGTCGTCGGCGTGACCGACGATCGCTGGGCGAGCGCCCGGTCGCATTCATCGTGCCCCGTGCAGAGGTGCCGGATGCCGGCGATCCTCGAGCACCTTTCGCAATTCGTTACGCAGGGCGTGATCAGCCGCTACGCGCTGCCCGACCGACTTGTCGTGCTCGATGCCTTTGCCACGGACGAGCGTCGGCAAGATCGACAAAAGGCCCTTCGCAACCTCGGTGAACCGAACGGATGACCTGACTATGTCGACGATGCGCCATCGCTCCCGGTCCGATGCACGCCGACGCAGTTGGCGTCATCATGACGGCAAGGCCGGTCCGCGACTGCCGATCGTCATGATGTCTGGTGGCTGTATGGACCGGAGGTCGATCTCCCGATGCGGCGGATGGCCGTCGGTCCCGCGACGATTTCGCCCAAAATCGTCGCACACTTCGTCGAAGAAGCGGCCGTGGACGGGGATCAGAATGCGGCCATGGTCGAACAAGGCACCGCTGCCGCACGCAGCCTTGCGACGCAGGCACAGATCTGGGCATGATGCTCGCCACGTTCCAACTGACCGCCCAGCCTGGTGACCCGAAGCGCGGCAACGCCTCGCGGGACTTGTCGCAGCGCCGGACCGGCTAAGCCACTATTTACGGCGATGCCAATGGCGTTCGAGCCGCCCCCAGTCTCTGCACCGGGGGCGGTATGGACTGGCCTCAGCGCCGAAGATGCCCATGCCGATCGTCCCGCTTCTGGATCGAGTCCGCGGGAAAGGCGGGGATCCCCGTCTATGCCGCCGCCATCGTCCCCGGTCGCAGATAGCGAACATGTGAGGGACGTAATCCGCCTTTCTGATGTCGACGCCCTGATGGCGAAGGATCGCATAGGCCGTGATGACGTGAAAATAGAACCGCGGGCAAAGCCCAGTCGCGAGCATATTGTTCGCCCGTCATGTCGAACGTCATGCCGTCTGGCAGTTCGATAGCCATCGGCAGATCCGCGCCGGCATCAAGGACGCCGCTCGACACGGTCGCGAGGAAGGAAAGGGCTTCGTCGATCCGCGTCCGGGCGTCGGCGATCGTTGCCGGGCGTGTCGCCGGCGTTGCGCCCTCCGGCCCCGCAACGGCATCCAGCCATTCGGGAACGGGCTCGCTGCGGAGCCGGAAGACAGCCTCTTGCGCTCGGAAGGCCGCAAAGCGGACCTGTGCCGCGAGCGGGAACATGTCGGTCGCCAGTCGCGCCGCCAATAAGGCTTCGGCTTGATCCGGCATCTGCTGCTCGGCCTTGTCCAATATGCCGGACATGGTTTGCAGCATGTGCTGGTAGGTCGGAAGGGGAGAGGTCTGGTCAGGGCCATGGCCGAAATGGTATAGCGAGACGCTGACAGTGCAAGGCCGGCTTGGCCGCTACCCCCATGAAACGACGTTCGGGGATCGCCCACATAGATTGGAGGGAAATCCCGCATTCAGTGGCGCGTTGCAGCCCTTATGTTGGGCCCGGAGGAGACTGAATATGAGCATCCTGCCGCTGAGCAAAGATCCGCAGCCCGATGTGAGGCAGAGTTCAACGCCTTCTTCCCGTCGAAGTTTTCGTTGAATGAATACACCAGTCCGAAGAGCGACACGAGGGGCGGACTATCCGCAGCCCTATACCGGCACGCGCCGCATCCTGCTGATCGGCACCGACGAACGCTATCTGAAGATGGAGAACGGCACGCTGTTCTCCACCGGCAACCATCCGGTCGAGACGCTGGTGCCGATGCACCATCTGCACAAGGCGGGGTTCGAATGACATCGCGACCGTGTCCGGCAACCCGGTGAAGTTCGAATTCTGGGCGATGCCCAAGGAGGACGAAGCGATCACCGGTTTGCACAAGGCGTATCTGGACGCGTTTCAGAAACCGCTGAAGCTGGCCGATATCGTTGCCGCGCTGGGACCTGACAGCGACTATGCGGCGGTAACATTCCGGCGCTGGGCCGCTCGCCGGATTGCCGTTCAGTGACGAGGTCGGCGCGGTGCTGCGCTGGGCATTGAGAATGACCGCCATCATCATTTTCGATCTGCCATGGCCCGGCTGCGCTGTTGGCCTGCACGCCCAAGGTCGATGGCGAGCCGTCCCGCTGGCCGGCTACAGCATCACCGCCTTCCCCGACGCGGCCGATCGCATGACGCCAGAGTCGGCTATATGCCCGCCATCTGACCCGCATTTTGGCGAGAAGCTGAAGGCGCTGGGCGTGACCATCCTCAACACCGAGGTGGACGTCGACGCACAAGGACCGCAAGCTGCTGACCGGCTCCAGCCCGTTCGCGGCCAACAATCTCGGCAAGCTGGCGGCGGAGACGCTGTTGGCCGAGGTCGGCGGCTGACCATGAGCGGGCGGGTTTGGCCGAGCCGCCGCGGCGGTGGCCGCGATCGAGCACAGCATGGACGCCGAGACGCTGCATGCCACGGTCCGCGCCTATGCCGCCCCGTTCGGTTATGGTCGTTTCGTCATCATACTGCCCCCGCCGCCCGGCGACGGGGCGGTCGATCGCATCCCTGTGGCTGGAGGGCGACTGGTTTCGGCAACGGTCACAGGGTCAATGCCGCCACCTATCTCGCGCGTTGTCCGGTCAACCGGCATGTGCTGGAAACCTGATCGCCCCTTCTTCTGGACCAAAGAACGGCACGGCCGACGCCGAAACCTATCGCGTCGTTCCGCATCCCCAAAGGGCCGGGCATCCACGGGCTACAGGTGCCGATCTTCAGCCATATCGGGCTTGCGGGCGCGGTGAGTTTTGGCGGTCGCACCATTGATAGTGCGATCGATACGCGCCTGGCACTGACTTTGGTCAGGACGGCGGCGTTTTCTCTCGCGGAGCGTCTCGCCGGATCGGTTGTAGCGCACGCTATGCCGCAACTTTCCGCCCGCGACGCGAGGTGATCCGCTGGATCGCCTCCGGTCGCCGTCAGGCCGATGTCGCCGCGTTGCTCGGCCTTTCGAACGCGATCGAAAACCATCTGCGCCGCATCCGCAACCGCACGGGAGCCGCCAGTACGGCTCAGGCTATCCACCTGCTGGTCCGCTCCGGCAACTGGGCGCCTGACGTTGCAGATGGCGGGCAGGACGACAACTTCCGCACGGTTTCGAGCGGCGGCCGAGACAGCCGAAGGCGCCGGCAAATGGGGGTCGCGACACCGCCGCGACTGAGACCATCAGAACATACGGAACGCCACCCCGCCGTAATCCGCGTACCATAGCGGTTCCATGCCAGCAGATCGCCGTTGGTCATGGGCCGTTCCGTCGCATCGAGAATATTCTGCGCCGCGATGGTCACGGCCAGTCTGTCGGTGACATTGTACGCCGCCTGCGCGTCCAACTGGCCCCCGGCGTTGACATAGGTGGGGCGTCGTTTCCGTCCCCACCGTGTTCAGATATTTGCTGCGCCAAGTATATAGGAGACGCGGGCCCGGATCGGCCCCGCTCGTAATAGGGCGAGATCGTGTAGCTGAACGTCGACAGATAGGCGAGGGCAGCTTGCCCGCCTTGTTGAACTGATCGGTGTACAGGCCGTATTTCTGATCCAGCACCGTGGCATTGGCTTTGATACCGAAGCCCCAGATCAGATTGCCGATGAAACCGACCGGGCACCTTACTGGCGTTGCTGCCGTTGAACGGCGTGTTGATCAGCATCGTGTTCGTCCGCTGCAGCTTGCCGTTGCAGAAGAGCGGCTGGTTCTGTTGGGCGGAAGGTGACCGCCTCGGTGGGGACCACGACCTGAACGAAGGCGTTCTTGCGCACGATGTGGATTGCACATCGTTGATGAACAGATCGACGTTGAACAGGCTGCCAGGCGAAATACCATTCGAATGCCGCATTGTAGCGCCAAGCCCGATAGGGTTTCAGATCAGGGTTGCCGCCGCTTCCTGCCGAAGAACGGGCCAAAGCTGGAATAACGGTCGATGCTATATTCCACCTGCCCCCGACATGTCGGCGAAGGACGGGCGCGACACGACCTTGCTGGCCGCAGCACGAAGCGATGTCGTCGGTCGTTCATAGACGGCGTTGAACGATGGCAACCAATCGTCATAACCGCGCTTGATCGTGATCTGCTCTTCATACCAGGTTCGTAATCGGCGCGTCGAGCGATAGGTCTGTTCGTTGACCGTCTTGGCATAGCGCAAGCCGATATCGCCCGACAGGCGGCGGTCTCGAAATTGACACGGCCGCCGGCGGCATAGGTGTCTTCGATCGTGTTCCAGAAGTTGCCCGCGTCATGGAAATTGCCAGTGGCATTGCCCGGCGAGCGGTTGGCTTCGGAGAATTTGGTCAACGAGTCCTGCGTCAGCCGACGATGCTGCGCAGCGCGCCGCCCGCGCCCAAGCCCGCCACAGAGCGGGTCGGGACCGAAGTCTGGTACGCCCGCCATGCTTTCAGTGCGCGGAATACGGTGTTGTGAAAGGTCGGCTTGTTGAGGCGAGATATGCTGTTGCAACGCGACCGCCGAACAGCACGTCGCGCACGGGCCCGAGATCGACGTTCCACTTGCCGTCGAACTTGCGCCAATGGTAGCGGTCGACGGTCTCGGCATATTTTGCCAAGCCCGCCTGCTGGCCAGCGGCGCGCGTCTTGAACAGCGCCGGATCGGTCGGCGACTGGGCGAGCGTCAAGGACGGCCCGTTGCGATCGAAGGCGAAGCTGCCCAGGTATTGCCGTAAAGCTGAGATAATATTCCGGGTTGCTGCCGCCGGTGGCTTTGGTGATGCCCGCGTTCAGGACCATGTCCAGCCGCCCGGGCGACCAGCGCGTCGGATGTTGTGAACATCGGTATTCAGCTTCGACCGTTTGTAATATTCGTCCATGCGAACGGCGAAAATTGCCCGCCGCCGGTGACGCCCGCCGCACGGGTGGTGACGCTCGACAGTCGCGTGATCGGGGCCGAGGCCGAGTCGTAAGCATTGCGTTGGTTCGGGGCACGCTCAGGTCGGTCTGGAAGGTCTGAGTATAATCCGAAAGTCGCCCCAGATGCGAAGCGCCGTGCCCTGTACCTCAAATTGTCGACCGGCTTACGGACCGCGATATAGCCAGTGGTGCGGATGCTGTTCGACTGGGACGCCGTCATCCACCAGGAATTGCGGCACCAGCATCGAGCTGGTCAGTGCCAGGCCGCTGGTCACCATGGGGAGCAGCGCCGGGTTTGACCAACGATCCGCTCGCCCCGTTGCTGCAAATCACCCCAACCATTGCCGTTGCAGACCGGGCCATAGCGCGTCGCGAAGGACCCGGCGCCCAGCACCGACTTGTTATAGGCCAGGCTCGCCAGGATGCCGAAGGTCTTGTCTTCGTTATACCAGCTATACAGGATCGACGCGCGCGGCGTGCGTTCCCTTATTGCGCAGGTTCACATTGTCAGTTGGCCGCCACCGACAGCGTATTGCGCGGCAGTTCGAACGGCAGGCGTGAATTGACGATGATCGAGCCGCCGACGCCGCCTTCGTCCAGCCGCGCTTCCGACGTCTTGTAGACTTCGACCGTGCCGATCAGTTCGGGTGCGAGATTGCGGAAATTGAAGCTGCGGCCGGTGTCGCGATTGTTATGCCAGCTTCGGTGGTCGCGATCGGCTGGCCGTTGAACTGGGTGAGGATCAACCGCGATCGATGCCGTTGATCGACACCTTCGCGCCCTCGCCACCGGCGGTATGGTCGATGGTCACGCCCGGAAGGCGCGACAGCGACTCGGCGACGTTCACGTCAGGATAGCGGGATACGTCTTCAGCGGTGATGACGTCGATCTGGGCCGATGATGCCCTTTTGGTATCGACCGAATTGGCGATCGCGTTCCGGGTCCCGACGACGACGATGTCGCCCTCGGCATCGCTTTTACCTTGTTTTCCAATCGTTCGGTGACGCGGTCCGCCGTGCTGCGGGCTGTGTCGCTTTGCGGCTTTGGATCACTGATCTGGTTCTGCCGCGGCTGCCATCGACCAGCCCAAACTGGTGATAGCCGTAGTAAACAACGCAAGCGTGCGAATGCTCATCTACCCCCCTGTTGTTATGGGCCTGCCCCTGTGCTCGGCCCGATGGGAAGCTAAATTGTATGACCAATATATGTCAATGATCAGTTTTGTCCTTGAAGATGGTACTCATATATGAGCGCCATTGGTGGCATAGGAGGTGTTATCGCTATCATGCGGAGGGGCGGCCGCGAGTCTTTGGACAGGAAAGCACAAAGGGGAGGTGCCACAAATGGCGGTAGAGGCCGTACGGAAGATCGTGATCGCCGAGGCGGGGGCGGCCGGATGGATGTCGGCCGTAGTTCTCGCAAAGGCTCTTGGCCTCCAACACTGCAATATCCGGTCATCGAGTTTGATGATATTGGTATTATCAGGGTGGGTGAGGCGACGATCGCCGGTACTCATTGGCTGAATAATATTCTGAGGAACGGCGAGGGGACTCTTTCGTCCATGCCAGCCGGCGACGTTCAAGCTGGGGATCGACTGTCGCGACTGGACCGGTTCGGGCAGTCATTATCACCACCCGTTCGGGCGTTACCGCGTGCCGCTGGTGGAGTCGGGTTCCAGCATCTCTGGGTCAAGGCGCGGCAGCGCGGCTCGGTCACGGGTTCGAGGATTATTGCATGACCTCGGTCGCGGCGCGGATGCGTCGGTTCGACCGGCCTGATACGGGGCCCGCCGTCGCCCGCTCAAGACGCTGAGCTATGCCTATCATCTCGATGCGGGGCGTTATCCCCGCTATCTCGCACGTTCGCCGAGGGGATGGGCTGACGACCTCGCACCGCAAAGACTTCCAGCATGGTCAAGCCGCATGGCGACATGCGCCGCTGGCACCATCAATCATCGATGCCCCTAACGAAAGGGGCCGGAACCGAAGTCCTGACCCCCAACTTCGTCAGCCTCACGGCTGGCGGCAGGATTACGCGCCCGGATTTCCGAGACGTTCACCTTGATGCCGCGGCCCATCGTCGAAGAGACGGCGACCTTGCGGACATACTTGCCCTTCGCGCCCGACGGCTTGGCCTTTGATCAGAGCGTCGACCAGCGCGTCGAAGTTCGCGCGCAGGTCTTCCGCCGGGAACGACGCCTTGCCGATGCCCGAGTGGATGATGCCGGCCTTTTTCGACGCGGTACTCGACCTGACCGCCCTTGGCCGCCTTGACGGCTTCGGCGACGTTCATGGTCACGGTGCCCAGCTTCGGGTTCGGCATCAGGCCCTTGGGGCCCAGCACCTTACCGAGGCGACCGACGACGCCCATCATGTCCGGGGTCGCGATGCAGCGATCGAAATCGATGGTGCCGCCCGGATGGTTTCCATCAGGTCTTCCGCACCCACGACGTCGGCGCCAGCGGCGCGTGCTTCGTCGGGCTTCGCGCCCTTGGCGAACACGCCGACGCGAACGGTCTTGCCGGTGCCCTTTGGGCAGGGTGACGACGCCACGCACCATCTGGTCGGCGTGGCGCGGGTCAACGCCCGGAGTTCACGGCGACTTCGATCGTCTCGTCGAACTTCGAGGTCGCGTTGGTGCGCGCCAGCGTGATCGCTTCGTCGATGCCGTGCAGCTTCTCGGGATCGATCTGGACGGCCTTCTGCTTTTGGTCAGCTTCGCCATGATCTTAGCCCTCCACCACTTCGAGGCCCATCGCGCGGGCGGAGCCTTCGGATGATCTTGGTCGCAGCCTCGATATCGTTGGCGTTCAGGTCCTTCATCTTGACACGGGCGATTTCCGCGAGCTTCGAGCGCGCGGATCTGCCCGCCGACACCTTGCCCGGCTCCTTCGAGCCCGACTTCAGGTTAGCCGCCTTCTTGATGAGGTAGGTCGCAGGCGCGGTCTTCGTCTCGAACGAGAACGAACGGTCGGCATAGACGGTGATGACGGTGGGCAGGGGCGTGCCCTTCTCGACTTCACCGGTCTGCGCGTTGAACGCCTTGCAGAATTCCATGATGTTCACACCGCGCTGACCAGCGCCGGGCCGATCGGCGGCGAGGGTTGGCGGCGCCTGCAGGGACCTGCGGCAGCTGATATAGCCGGCAATCTTCTTTGCCATGTCACTCTCTTTTCGAGTTCAGCGGTCGTGACGGGCACGAAGGCATAGGCGGGCACCCTCCCGCAAGGGTTCCGTCGCATGATGCTGGGGAAGCGCGCGCCGATAGCGGATTATGAGGGAATGGCAAGGCGGGCAAGCCACTACCTCCGTTCGCACTGAGCGAAGTCGAAGTGCACGGGATCCCGTCTGCCGAGAGGGTGGGGCGTGGGCTACGACTTCGCTCAGCCTTAACGGGGGTGGGTGAGGTATTGAGCTACGAAAAAGGCCGGTGGCGTTGCCGCCCCGCCCTTGTTTCGTCGGACGGTATGAACTTACTTCGAGCGTTCGACCTGCTCGAAATCCAGTTCCACCGGGGTCGCGCGACCGAAGATCGACACCGACACCTTGACCTTGGACTTGTCGAAATCCAGTTCCTCGACCACGCCGTTGAAGCTGGCGAAGGGCCTTCGAGCACCTTGACCGCGTCGCCGATCTCGTAATCGACCTTGACCTTGTGCTTCAGGGCGGCGGCGGCTTCTTCCTTGAGTTCAGCATCCGCGTGGCTTCGCTTTCGCTGATCGCCTGCGGCTTGCCCATCGCGCCGGAAGCCGGTCACCTTCGGCGTGTTCTTGACGAGGTGATAGACCTGATCGTTCATGTCGAGCTTGGCCAGCACGTAGCCGGGCATGAACTTGCGCTCGACCGCGATCTTCTTGCCGCGGCGGGGTTCGGTCACGGTCTCGGTCGGCACCTCGATCTGCGCCACGAGATGGTCGAGGCCCAGACGGGTCGCCTCGGCCATGATCGAGTCGCGGACCTTGCCCTCGAAACCGGAATAAGCGTGGATGATGTACCAGCGCGCCATGGGAACCCTTTACTTCGCGAGCGACAGCAGGGTGCGGACCAGCGTCTCGAAGAACGAGTCGACCGCCGAAAGAAGATGGCGAGGATCGTGGTCATCACGACCACCATCACGCCGGTCATCACCGTCTCGCGCCGCGTCGGCCAGACGACCTTCTTGGTCTCGGTCTTGACCTGATTGAAGAATTCGATGGGGTCGTCTTCGCCCTCGTGCCGTTCCCGCACCTGCGTTGAAATTCTGTCAGCGGGGCATGGGTCCGCCGTCGCCTGACCCGGGGTCCTGCGACGAAAGGTCCGTCCGCGCTGTTCGGATGGGGAACGCGATGTAGCCGTGGTGTGGCCAAAAGGCAAGGGTGGGGCGGGGCGGGGTTTTCTGTTTCCGCGACGCCGCGATGGCGCGAAGGGTTTGGTTCGCGCGGAGACGCGGAGGCGCGGAGCTTTTGTTCGCGCAGAGGCGCGGAGGACGCAGAGAGAGGCTTGTGCTGATCCTGCTTCCCGATCCCCTCCATCCGTTCAGCCTGAGCGCGCAGTCGAAGGCCAAGGGGCAAAGCACCGCCGCAAGGTCTTCGAGCCGCGGGCTCCCTGAACGCTGGAGCGTTCCGCCCGCGTGGCGGATATTATCCCGTGGCCTTCGACTACGCTCCAGGCTGAACGGAGGGCGGGGGATGCTCCATTCTTCCCCTCCGCGTCTCCGCGGCTCCGCGCGAACCAGCCTTCTTCGCGTCCTCGCGGCTTCGCGTGAACAATCAACAGCACCGCCCGCCATTTTTCCCACCATATCGCGCCTGTTGGCGCTCACGGAAGAAGGTCACCTCGTCCATCGGCTCCCGGTCGGGATGCTTGGCCGCCATGTGCGCCACATAGGCGTCATAGCTGGGCATCCCGACCATCGCATTGCCGATCTCGCGCAGGCGGCTGAGCCAATTCATTGGGCCCAGCTCATTCGGCCGCCACCATCTCGGGCGGGATTTCGGTGACGCTTTGGTCGGTCGATACGACGTGCGATCAGGCAGGTGCGCACCGCATGGACCAGGATCGCCAGCACCACACGCCCGGGAAGATCGCGCACAGCCCCGCATCGATCCGGTCGTTGAAGACGATCGCCCCATCTCCGCCATGGTCTTGGCGGGGGCCAGCACCTGCCCTCCGCCGCCGCGCCGGCAAACTTGTCGGCATGCGCGAGGAAACCGACGCGCGGATCGGCCGGAGAAGATCTTCAGCCACCCGGCGGTCAGCGTGCAGGCCAGCAGCCAGACGGTCGGCACCACCGTGATCCGTGCGTAGCGGTCCTTCTTCATGCGGAACAACACCACGGTCGCCAGCATCAGCGCCACGGCCGCCAGCATCTGGTTGGAGATACCGAACAGCGGCCACGCGTGTTCACCCCGCCCAGCGGATCGGTGACGCCCCTGATAGAGGAAGAAGCCCTGGCCGCGACGCAAAGCCCGGTCGCTATCAGGCCCGGCGCGACCTTCGACGATCCTCGGAAGCTGGGAACGACCAGCCCGATCAGGTCCTGCAGCATGAAGCGGCCCGCCCGCGTGCCCGCATCGACGGCGGTCAGGATGAACAGTGCCTCGAACAAAATGGCGAAGTGATACCAGAAGGCCTTTCATCGTCTGTCCGCCGAACAGGTGGCTGAAGATCTCTGCGATCGCCACCGCCAGCGTCGGCGCACCGCCCGCGCGGGAAATGATCGTATGCTCGCCGACATCCTTGGCCACCTGCGCCAGCGTGTCGGCGGAGATGGGGGAAGCCCATTGCGGTGACGGCGGCGGCGGCGCTGGCCGGGTCGGTGCCCAACACGGCGGCGGGCGCGTTCATCGCGAAATAGACGCCCGGATCGAGGATCGAGG